ACTCACACCTTTTTAATGCCGTGCTCGAAGGCCTGCTTGGCCAGCCGGCCCGGCCCGTCCACCGTCTTCCCGTCGTCGTCGGGGCCCCAGCTGGCGCTGTAGATGTCGATGTAGTTGGGCCTGACGCCCAGCGACTTGGCCTCCACCACATCGGTCACGTCGCCGTCCAGCATGCGGACGCCTGCAAGCACAGGGGCTCCATGCGCGCCTGTCCCCACAGGGGCCGCGACCCCGGGAGGAGGGGCGCGCCCGGGGGCCCCGACCAGCTCGGGGGGTTTGCCCAGCATCACTCTGGGCACCTCTCTGCCCATCCCATGCTGGCCGATGAGAAAGGATTGAAGCGACACCCCAGGCAACGTGGTAGTGTCCCCAAGCACAGGGGCAGCGAAGGAAGCCGAGCCCCTTGGGAAACAGGCATGAGGCAGCTTCCTCACTCCCACCCGCCACGCTGGCAGTTACAAAGGGACATTTCTATAGTAGAACTTGAAGCCGTTTTCAACTTTCCTAGCTGTGAATAGTTTATATTTGTTTCTCTGTTTTTAAAAACATGCTTCCATCCCTGATTTATAATTAGGAGCTTAACCTACGAAAGGCCACGCCTTAGCCTGTTGGGGGGGGTCAGTGTCATCTCTTGGTGTGTTCCCTGGAGGGGTCTTTAGGAGGTGGGGTGCACAGCTTTCTCAGGAGCACCCAAAAGGAGAGGGGTGAGTGCCCACCTCCCGGCCAGGGGGTGGTCCCCCCTGCCCCGTGTTTGCCTCCATTACTGATCTCACTCTGCATCCAGCAGGTGTGGTCCCCCCACCCCCGTCCCAGGGCCTCCCCCAGAGAGGGGGGCTCAGTGACATGTGACTGGGGAGCAGGGGTAATGACAGCCATTGACACCTCCTGCTTGGATTCCAGTAGATGCGCAAAGACAGCAGGGGACAGAGTCCTGGTGTGGCAGCTCCGCTGTGTGCCCTGGGGCCAGGGTCTCAAACTCTCTGAGCCCTTGTTTCTCACAATATTTACCTGGGGTGGGGGAGCAGCTGAGAGGATTGAATATACGTTGAGGCCTGGCGCCCGGGGCCGTCTGAGAAACAGCATCCCTATGGCCTTACTTTGGGCGATGGACTTTCTGGGGCAGGAGACCCTGCCGGCCACACAGGCGGCCAAAGGCAACTCGGATGCCCTGGGGGTGGNGGAGACCCTGCCGGCCACACAGGTGGCCAAAGTCAACTCGGATGCCCTGGGGGTGACACTGACCCGCTGTTTAGGGCTCCTCGAGCACGTCATGGGTGTGGGAACGCCTGTTTCCGAACACAAAGGCCTAGATGCCAGGACACGTCCCAAAATATGCAGAAGCAACTGGCCAGGCCGATTTCCCGCACGTCTCACAATGCTCTCCTCGGAAAAAGGGAGGCTGACGGGCGGCAGAGAAAGCCGGATCTATTTAAGTTTTAATGAACCATCTAATTCCGAGACACTGACAGGTTGCCAGCAGAGAAAAGGTAAATATTTTCAGTAGAAACCTGCTGTTCCAATATTAGCCTGAAACGCGAAGGGCTCCCTGGAAATGCCAAATTGAAGAGAGACAGGAATCGCTTCTCTAATGCGGGAAGAGAGGCCCGTTTACCATAAACGATCAGGTACAAAAATCACAGGGACAAAGCACTCGGATGGCAAATGAACTGCGGGTGGTTAGCGCGCTCACTCGGGGTTCGCAGCTCCCAGTGGCAGGTCCCCCCTATGTGTGTTCAAGGCAGGAGGAGTCCTGAGCAGACAGAGATGGCGCTTAGCAGGACCTGATGAATCNTCTCTAATGCGGGAAGAGAGGCCCGTTTACCATAAACGATCAGGTACAAAAATCACAGGGACAAAGCACTCGGATGGCAAATGAACTGCGGGTGGTTAGCGCGCTCACTCGGGGTCCGCAGCTCCCGGTGGCAGGTCCCCCTCTGCGTGCTCAGGGCAGGAGGAGTCCTGAGCAGACAGAGGTGGCGCTTAGCAGGACCTGATGAATCTGTGTTTGGACAAATAACTCAGAGGCTGCCGTTAGGGCTCCAAACCCAGCACAGGAGCCGCACGCCAGACACAGGCCTGGCTCCCTCTACAACAGGCGCCGCCCTTCACAACTGCCTGACCCCAATCGCACTGTATTTATTGTTATTATTTTTTTTGTTAACCCTCCCCTGAGGACTTTTTTCCGGTTGATTTTTAGAGAGAGTGGAAGTGGGGGGAAGAGACAGAGAGAGGAACATCGATTTGAGAGAGACACATCCATTGGTTGCCTCCCCCACCTGCCCCAACAGGGCCCGGGGATCAAACCTGCAACCCAGGTACGTGCCCGTGACCCGGAATCGAACCGGCGACCCTTCAGTGCAGGGGCCAATGCTCTAACCACTGAGCCACACCGGCCAGGGCCCAATCACACCTTAAATGCCCTGGGAGGACCTGCCGAAACGAATGATTTTCCAAGTCTCCAGGTAATGTTCAAAAACCCAGCAACTCATTGTCACAGCGACCCTGTCCTCCAGCCCCTCCCCCTGCTGCTAAGTGGAGCGTGACTTTCCCAGTGACAGGCTTGCGGACGGCAAGTGGGCCCTGCAAGGCGGCAAGAGACTCAGCATTTCCCCTGAAAATTTCCGAGGAAGCTCCATGCTAAAAGGCAACAGGGAATGCCGGGTGGGGGTGATCTTGGAGATACGGTCTTTCAAGAGGTAATTAAGCTAAAACGAGGTCATATGCTTGGGCCCTGATCCTCTGCGACTGGTGTCCTTGTACGAAGAGGAAACTGAGACACAGACAACACACAGATGGAGGGACAAGCATGTGAGGACACAGCGAGAGGCAGCCACCTGCAAGCTCAGGGCAGAGACCTCAGAAGAAACCAAATCGACTGACACCTTGATCTTGGACTTCCGTCTCCTGAACTGAGAGAAAATAAATTTCTATTGGGTAAGCAAAAAAAAGGAAAATGCAATGAAAAGAGCACATGCATGTACACGCACTAATGTACACACATGCACACGTGCATGTACACACTAATGTACACACACACNGCACTAATGTACACACATGCACACGTGCATGTACACACTAATGTACACACGCACCAATACAACACACCAGGGATCAGCGGGTTGCGAACAGCTAGAGGAAGGCAGCGAGGAGACCGCACCAGGCCCACTGCTGTTTCTTGGGAAGTAACGTATCCCGCCTTCAGCGAATAAATGGCCATGTGAGAGCAACAGCCAGTAGCAAATGAAATCAGATCGTAGCTTCCCGAGTGTGACAAATAGGCCTTCCCAGCAAATTCTGCTCATTAATCCCGAGTTTACTGTAGTAAATCCACGAGGATTAGTGCTCCCCCCCCCCAAAATATAGCACATTCCATTCTACCAGCAGCCACTCCGGGCCAACCGAGGTTTCGGTTTCAACAGCCGTCGACAGACGCTGCAGACCTAAAAGGTCTCTGTCACCTCTCATGACTGCCTGAGACAGGAACAGGGCTCTCAGGTCTCTAACTGTGCCCACGTGTGACAACCTCGTTCTAGGACCCGGGCAGCTGAGGTCGGCCAAGATGCCCAGGCACCTCGACAGTCGTCACTGTCACATGAAGGGCGTGGAGACAGCACTGAGAGCCAAGCTGAGCCTCTCTTGGCCTCCTGCTCTGTTCCCGCTCTCCTGCTGGAGCCACTCCATGTCCTTCCCGGGTGGAGGTGTGGCTGGGCCAGGGGTGTCCTGTGAGCCCAGGTTGCAGGGACGAGGCCCTGCTAGGCAGGATCTTGCATTACCCGTGGCTTTTGCTATCTCTATTCTGATGCTCTGACATCTTAGGGCCTGGCTGAGTCTGGAGGGACTGACACCCCCGCACCCCAGAGTTGGTCAATTCCTAGAGATGGCAGAAAACTCCCCAGTGTGGGCACCTGTCATGTGCAAACCAATCCAGAGCCCACACCCTAACCGCCTCCTTTATGGGGCTCTTACCCTCTGTCCTCATCACCCCAGACAACTAGGGACAGCTCCTAACCCAGAACCTGGAAATTATTCCAACTGGCCAATCCTAAACCTGCTTAACCTGCCTGGCCTGTTCCTCCTGCAGAAACCACTGGAAGCTTCTGCCCACTTCCCTCCCGGTCTCTCGGCCTCCTGCACAACCTGGGGCTTCCCTGTGTGGCCCCCCTCCCCACCATGGCCTCTCCTTGAGAACTCTGGGTAACAAACTCTGTGCAATGCCATTGTCTCTGGATCTGCTGGTCTTACCATACCTAAATAAACGATCATGAAAACTCTATCTGAATTCAGGTTACTCTTTCATAAGCAGCTTCTGCGGATTTTGCACAGAATGGCGAAAACTGGGAGAGCCTCGGCAAGGATCTGGACATTTGAAATCTAGAAGGACTCCCCTGGTCTCCCAATCATTGAACAGGGGGCACAGAATAACAGTGATCTCCTGGGGTTCAGTAAGAGTTGGCAGCTTGGGGCACCCGACAGAACAGCAAGCTTCTGAGCCCGATGGGGCCCCCAAACGTACACCCTGCAAGCGGGGACAGCAAGGAACCCTGAGAGCACGTGCACCTGTGACAGAGTAAGTGAGCAGGTGCCTGAACTGGGCTCCGGAGGAGACAAGAAGGTGGTAAAAAGGACAATCACACCACCATAAAAATAAGACGGCAGCACCACCGTGACCAAAGGCCACCACGAGCTGGTCACTTAGGCTCGGACGTGCTCTCTCCCTGCCTGTCTGACCCCACAGCGAAGCTGCTCCTCCGCTCAGTGTTCGTGATGACAGTCGAGGAACCACAGCTGTGCAGCCTATGGCATTCAAGGGCCCTGCCACCTGTCCTCTGGGGGTGGCTTTAGCAGGACAGCCTGGGGCCAGGGCATGGTCACCAGGAGACAGGGGTGAGGGAGCTACGGCTGAAGCTTGCCCATTTCTTCTTTCCTTTTTTTTGATTAATCTTCTCCTGAGGATATTTTTACTATTGATTTTTAGAGAGAGTGGGAGGGAGGGGGAGGGACAGAGAGAGAAACATCGATGTGGGAGAGGCATATTGACCGGTTGCCTCCTGCAAGCACCTGACCGGGAATGGAAACTGTGACCCTCTGGTGCTCAGGCCGATGCTCTAACCACTGAGCGATGCACTTGGGGCCTTTGGAGATGCATCTGTAGCTGAACCCGTCCTCTGAAACGCTCATGAG